TGATATAAGGTGGATGTCATCAAAGTTTGAGGAAAAGGTCTGGCACTAGCCGTCCTGTAGCAGTTAATTGAGCTAGGATGGTGTTAATTATGTGAGAAAATTCACTGTGAATCAAGGAACACATTCAGTGTTCGCTCTGCCATCTGACAGGTATGATCTGTTAATCGTTTAAATTCTCCATTTTTATGTTAGCTGTGCCAGATGTGCAATGTGTAAGATCGAAGTTGAATGCAAATTTAATTTTGTTTTTCTTTCAGTACTTCGAAAAGAAAAGTTTTGCCGAGGATTTGACCGAAGGAAAATTTTCATTCCCTATTATTCACGCAGTTCGTACTTTTTCAGACGATGACCGAATCATAAGTAAGATATTTTGCATTAAAGCTGTGATATTTACTGCATTTATCTCTTGATTTTTTACCTGATGTTTCTTTTACTTATCAAATTTTTAAAGGGTTTGCGAAGTCGAGTTTTTTGCGATCGTTTCATTTCATGCATCTTATCTAGTAGATCACAAGCGAATCGTCATCCTGTGTTTTCGCAGCTCCCATTAGGTCAATTCACCCCTGATAAATTCATTCCATCACGTGTGAAGCGTGTCTTTCGGGTTTTTCCACCATGGGCACATTACCAATTATGAAGTTTCCAATCCTTTTGCTTTCTCTTCGCAGTTTCTGACACAGGACTGCAAATTTAACTGACTTTATGTCCAGAGAGGTAAAGTTCATATTGTTTTTTGTTTAGAGAATTCAAATACAGAAAAGTCAGTTTTTTGCACAACTGCCTTTCCGACAACGTGTTGCAAATATTACTGACCTACTCGGCATATATGACGATTTTCAGCAGTTACCTTTCTAGCCAAAGTTTTTCGTATGTGACTTTTAGGCTTATGAAATTTGTCATTTTTTGCATGATTTGACAACAACGTTTCTGTTTAAAGTTCCACAGTGGATAGTTTTATTTTCTGCTATCTTCCGTTCATGCATAGATTTTAATTCCTCTTTTTAATAATTTTAGTTACATCATTTTATGATATCGTTGTGCTATGCATTTTTTTCCTAGACATACTGCGTCAGAAGCCAACGTCACTGGAAGTAAAACGTTACGCAGTAAATCTTATGATTGATTATGGCTCTTTTGAATATACCAAAAAGCGACTGGTCGATTTGGAATCCGAGTATGCAAGTTTGTTCGTCTTAACGTTTCAACAACAAAACCAGTGGTATCTGTGGTTGTTGCTTCTGGTAGTTGTGCCCACTTTTGCGTAACATCGATGTTTTTGTCATTTTATCTAGTATATATTACCCCAGAACTGTAAGGCTGATCTTCTTCTGCAGTATGACTGGGGGAGTTGATCAGCAGCTGTATTGGCCAATATTCAAATTTCTAAGCCAGCGAATAACCGCCGCCATAGTATTCTGATTATTAGTTATACTGCCGTTGAAATTTTGCAGCGGGCATTTGGAAATAATGTGCTGCATGATCTGCATTTTTATGGCCGCAGTCACGCTGAGAGTTGAAGGTTAACATATTACTTACAAAACTGCAGCTCGATGCAAGTTTGTGACATTTTATTTTGACTGTTCTAGTATAAAGAAGCTGACGAGTGAAATGGGTTGGAATCCGATGTTGTTTTCGCTGATCGACGTCATGAAGACTGTATATACTGAAGTCGAAGTGACGTAATAGATTATGTTGCTATGCGCTTGTTATTGATGTTTTCACTTGGAAAAGTTGCGTTCGCACTGTTCTGTGAATGATGGCGAATTTTAGGAACTTAATGATGTCACATCATGTGTTTATATTGCACTTCATGTGAATTTCATTTCGCTTGCGGATTTCGTTTCTGTAGTGTCATATTCATTGTCGTTAATGAAGCTATAAAAGTGGTTTTTAAAACCTGTTAAATCAGGTTTCAGTCGTCATTTATTGTAAACTTAAACTTTTTGCGGTTTGCTCGTTTCGGTCGAAACGGATTATCAGCAAAGACTGGAAAGCTTTCATAATGAGTTGGCATTCGCCTGCTAGCGTTCAGTGTCAGTATGGCTGTCACTGGTAGATGTGTAATGAGACTTTCTTAAGTGCAGAGCAAGTTGCCAAACAGAATCATGCCACTGAATGCCAGTTGTTCATACATAAAAGTGGCACTGCTAACTATATAAATCACATGGAGATGCCATCATTTGGTTTATCCGATTTAAGTCTGTAATTCTGAATTGATCTTCAACGCGTTAGGAAGAATCACAAGTACTTATTTTCTGCAGGGTTCATATCGATGCAACGTCAGACAATGGAAGAGGAGTCAAACACATCAAAGTAATATCGTGTTTGTGCTACAGCAGCTCCTCGCTTAGCCGACTCTTGTCACTGAACATTTGCTGATCTTGGATGATCGGCAGGTGTTGCACGAACAGGTAAAATAGCAGTCACCTGTTCCACGTAAAATACCATATGGCATTCAGAGCTTCCTTCCAAGAGCTCGTTTCTTATTGCAAATCACTGATTGAATCAGAAAAGCAAAATAGATATGTAGTTATATATTCGGATTTATCTTTCTATGTACATATACATCGAGAGAGTCGTGGCAAAGTGTGTGGCTGTGCGCACCAGAGTCTCGGATTCGAATCCGGTGGAGGGACTATAGTTGTCTTATCTACAAATTTCTTTGTGCAATGAACTGAAGCCAGGTTATTTAGGCACAATCAGCGGATAAGGCATGACTTAAAAAAACAGAGACAACATGATATTCTGGTTTGGTCATGCCAAAGCGATCGGGGTGCACACCAATGCTGTCCAGTGCAAGCAAAGCATGATTTTTAATTTAGCTTTGACACATCTGATAGTTAACTATTCAGCACGGAAATCGTCACATGATGTAATATCGATATCGAAATGATTGGCGTTTTCACTTCTTCCAGCCGTACACCATGTTCCAAGACCAGAAGGTGCTGCTGCATCAATTCTGAAGTTGAGATTTATTTTGCTGCTCAAAGGTACTTGAAATTTTTGTTTGAAGCGACCATAAAACTAAAAAGTGGAAAAATAAAAGTCCCTCTTTACCTAGTGGTGTCTAAGCTGTTAACGAAAAGACGGACACTTACAAGAGTTTTATGTACAGTTTCGTATTACAATATATGATGCACTATTTATTAATACCTGCTGCTCTACTCAAAGAACTGTATTTTGCATGTGCGCTTCCATATGCCTGCGGTTACGTTTCTCACTTGAATTGGGTTGTTTCTTTGCTTGTAGATCTCAGACTAAACCTGATGACTTTATTGTCGAAATGATACTTAGCTGAAACTTGCACGACACTTGTTAGCTTTTTTTAGTGTTCTCTTTGCGTAGGTTTTTAGTCCTTATTTTAATTAATTTGTAGGCTAACACGGAACAAA